GGGCTCCGCCGTGCGCCGACCCCTCGCTGCTCTGCGAGCAGCTGCTGCCGTCGCTGGGCTCATCGCCCGACGGCTCCCCTCCCTGGTCCGTCCCTCCACGAGCTCGTGTGAGAGGCATAGCTCGCCGCACGCCCTCGTTCACCTGCAGACGCTGCGTTGTCTCTCCACGGATCACGCGCTATTAAACGGGGGTCGGGGGCGAACGACGCTGCCCTCACGCTGCGTGAGTCCCGGCGGCGACAGACGGATCGGGAACCTGCGGACGCACCGACCCCTTCACCCACACTACGAGCGCACACACCTGCACACACGCGACACCCACTCGTGCGCCGCTCTACGCAGCGCTCACTCACGTGGTGAACCACAGTGTACACACGCGCACCCACACGCTCACACTGCACGACAATATCACGCGAGACCACGCTTCGCTATTAATGATTTATTATCTGATACCTGGTAATTTTAATGTTAAATCAGTGAGTCGACGAGGCTGGCCTACGCTGATACCTTTATACCTATTCCCGATTTATCTGCTATGATTCTAATTCACCTACTTACTTCCTGCTGGATGCCCACGGCGGTTCGTTGATCCCGTGCTCGCAGCGTACCTCGATGCGTCTAACGGACGATCGGGTCGCTGGACTGGAGAGCGTCCTGTCGCCTGGCGCTGGAGAGAAGAGCCCGATTTCCCCTCTGCGCTCCTCTATTTATCCTCCCTACCTCAAAGGGGATGCTGCGCTGAACAATGGGCTCGTGCACCCCAAGCCCGCGCACGGCGGTTCCCGGGCGCTGTTGATATGCTAATCAGTGAGCGACGTTGGCGGCGTACATCCTAATTACTCCCTTACCCTTCCTAACAATGGGACCTACGCGCTCAAGCGCAATTATCCCAACCCTCCATGACTATGCGCAACGGCCCCTGTGACCCCGCTATTCATGCTGTCCCGTGCCTCCCCTGCTTGCCCCGTCGACCCGTGGGAGTGTGTGTGGGGGGAAATGCGCCTCAACCGCGGTGGCCGAATGCCCCACGCCGCGACCAAACCATATTAAGGCCGGCCGCAGCGCCGCGGTGCCACGTAGCACGGGGGAGGTCATCCAATTCCCTGATCGCCGGAAACCGTGAGAATTAATCCCGATAAGGGTCTCTCGGATAAAAACCGGTCGGCCAGGCGACCTCCCCTCGGAGCTCTATGGGGGGGGGGAAATGAGTGCGGGTGTGTTCATGTGAGGTGAGGTGAGGGGGACGCGGGGTCGGCTTCGTTGCTTGGTGGTGGCGAGGTCGGGGATTTGGTGCCTGCCGAACGGCTTCGTGGCGGCGGCATCACACAAGCAATCAACCTGGAGAAAAGGGCGGAAATCGCCAAGCATCGACCAAGCGAGCACCCGCTGAGAACCGACTCGTCATCCCGCAGTGGAGGAGCTGCACGCTATCCAACGACGGAATCATCGCGCATCACGACGGCGAGCGTCGTGCCGACGCCACTCATCTAGCAGTGGAGAGAGTGCCCGAGCACAGGTGCCAGTCTGCCAGCGCACAAGTGAACGAGTACCGCCGCGCCGTCAGAGCTACAGAGTACGAGTGCCAGCGCCGAAGCGCCACCAAGCGCCACCAAGCCCCACCGGGCACCACCCAGCGACCAAGCCTCTCCACGAACAGAAGCGGGCCGACGCCGCTCATCTCCCAGCGGAGAAAGTCACGGCTGTAACCCCGCACGGGCGAGAGGAAAACTCCGAGCCGTTCGTATCACCTCCCCCACTCACAAACCCAAGGAAGCACATACACGCACACATCTACATCCCCAGGGCTCATGCAAGAATTTATCTAAGAGACAATCCACCTCTCCCACACAATGGTACCGACCATAGACAATCATCAGAAGACTAATTATAAAGTTTGAACACCAGCTGGCCGTGAGGAATCGTGGCCATCGAGTGATTAAGAATCCGTCGGTTATAGGAGTATTAGGCCTTTTGTTTTTATTTTTTTTGTTTTCTCTTATCGCATAAACGACCAATAGATTCGTCGATGCAAACTAAAACTCTTGAAATCCTCATTACGAATCTACACGTTTACAGAGAGAGAATATCGTGTCAAACCTGTTCGTTTGTCATAGAGTCTCGCTTAAGAATGAATTAAAGCAGAGCCAGAATACGTTCTCACACAAACACACGCACTCACCCACCATTGTCTCAAACATTTCGTTAACAAATTTAATCTTGCCAACGAATCTATTGACGTATGCTTCGCCTTTGGGGTATAATAAGTGCTTTTATTTCCCTTCATATTAATATCGTTGCATGCCTGTTTTAAAACTCTGCCTGTTACCGGATGTGCTCGGTACGCGGTGGAATTAATGAGATGTGCGGTGGGAAAGGAGAAATTACGGTTGTTAGAAGTGTTTTAGTCATTCATTTTCGTTAATTGCATAATCCCGCTAATGAATCTATGGACGTATGCTTTCGCCTTTGCATATTAGAGTGTCATATGTTTGTTTAGAATAAAAATTTCTTAACACAAAGTGGTTGAGTGTTTCTTTCCAAGTCCATGCAAAACTCTTATTTATAAGAACTGTATCTTGCGTTGAGATATGAATTTGGAGACCTAACATAACAAAAAAACACACTAAGATAATCAATAAATGTTTAATCAAAGATAATCGTTTTATCCTGATTGATACAACTCTGGATAACGAAGCTAAGCCTAATTATCATAACTGCACACGTTAACATAATCGCAAGCATTCGCATAAAATAATACAATTATCTCCGTGATTATCATAATTTATGCATACAATTACATACATTAGCATAATTTCCGCGAATTACGGATTTTTCTACATTTTATCCATTTTTAGAATTTTTTATCAAAATTTCATAATCCGACATATACAACACTTGTAAGGGAACTTACAAAAATATCTGCTGCATGTTGGAATGACTAGAAAGATGATGCGGAGGCGTTATTGTTGTTACCTGCGCCCTCATGCCCCAGTCTGTCTGTACCGGGTGCACGTCCATCCTTCACGCACTGTGCGGACTGCGGCTTAGCTTCCGAGATTTGTCGAGATTGGGTGGATTCTGAATTATTTGTTCACAGGCAATCAGAGGAAAGGGGTACAATTAGTGAGTGAACAATCTGAGTCCCCTGAATTTTCCTTACATCTGTGTAGGACTTGAGATAACACGGGCCACGCGTTTGGTTGCGATGCGAGCGTGCAGCGGACAGTGGGGGCAACTGAGGATATAAGTTGTTGTTGCACCAATTAAGGGGTGAGGTCATTAAGAGACGCCACAGGTGTTAAGGGTAACTGAGGCCATACAGTTGTTGTTATGCCAATTAAGGGGTGAGGTCATTAAGAGGCGCCACAGGTGTTAAGAGTAACTGAGGACGCAGGCCGGTGATTGGTCGAGAGGGTAAGTGTATGGGACTGGCGTCGGGGTGTCCACGAAAACAACATCATGTGATATCACGTGAGGCTGGGGGCCATGGGGGCGAAGGGAGGAGCGGGGATGACATAACTAATTGGGACTAATTGGTTTGAGGATAAAGGCAGAGCGTAGAGGAGAGACGGGGGGATTGTGAGTGTTGGAGTCGCAGTTAGATTTGGTGCCTGGACAAGAGTGTATAGTATGAGGTAGCAGTGGATAAGAGTGTATAGTATAAGGTAGCAGTGGATAAGAGCGTATAGTATAAGGTAGCAGTGGATAACAGTGTATAGTATAAGGTAGCAGTGGACAAAGATAATACAGTATACGGTAGCAGTGGATATAGAGAGTGTGGACAGAGTAGCAAGGATGGAGCGAGTACAGCGTAGCGAAGCAGCGGAGTAACATACCTTGGTGGAGAGAGAGAGCGAGTGAAGCAACAGAGCGGGCGAACGGAGGGATATCGAGTGGGGCTGATGGAGAATTGTACATTGAAGAGTAGGGAGGAACATTGAACGATGCTGTCGGAGATGTGAACTATACACAAAATAAAAGGAACGAGAAAGACAAAGAAGTTGTCGCGTCAGTAAGAGTCCTACATCTGTAATGTGAGCGTAAGCGAGGTTTCACCGCTCAGCTCTGGGCCAATCTGACGGCCTGGAGTATTGGGGGCGGGGCCCAGTAAGGTGGGCGTATGGAGAGGTCCGCCGCCCACCTCCGGTCCAATCGGATGCCCGGACGATCAGGGGGCAGCCTAGCGGCGGAGCCGGGAGGGGCGCTAAGTGAAGGGCGTGATCTGGAAGGTTCGGAAAGGGCGTGGTGGAAGGTGGAGACGGGATGACGAGAGAGGGGAATATAAGGGGGATCCGGAAGAGGTTCGTGGCAGTTGGCATAGACTCGAAGTGGGAACACATCGAGCCGTGGAAGGTCTCCAGCGCCATCGGCCACGTGGCTGGAGACGGCTCCAAGCACACCGTCAGCCAATGGTGTGTGGGAGTGCAACTAACGGAAAGAGCGCGCGGGGCGCGCCAGTGGAATAACCAGTCCATGGTCGGGACCGGCGGAGTGTGACCAGCATAACAAGAATAACGACAGAGACGGAGACCAAGCTGTGTGTTGTCAAAGTCCTTTATTGCACATCTCCCGTAGTTCTAAATAGAGCCACATACATAACTAAACTATGAAGTTATACAGGCTACAAACATGAATCACAGCCCAGGGTAACTTTGCAAGTGTGGCCCAGATCAGTCAGTCACTCTGCTCCTTGGCCAAGGTGCTGTACAAATTACGACAAGATAAGATTTATCTTGTACAAATTTACAATCATGTCCAAAAAGTTCACTTTGTGTATTTTTAACGTGAGAACGAAGCATGCTAATATAAGAGACAGGTAGAGCTTACATCATAATGTCCATACCGAGACTGTGGTATGATTTTACGTCATTGATCACAGCTGTCTGTGTCATCACACACACACATTAGACTGTCAGTGTGGAATGAATGCAATGCAGGAAGTCACAATTCCAATGACGACATAATGATGTTTTCTTTTCAGGCATGAAAGCGAAAACATTCTGTGCTCTCCCCACACTCATGCAAACACTCGCTGTGATACTCAGCGAGTATCAGTCACTCAGTGATCAGAACTGAGTGACTGAGACAGGAGCAGAGCTATGGACACCTCAGCTTCTGCTGCTGTATCTGAGGAGCTCAGCTGCTCCATCTGCCTGGGTGCATTCCACTGCCCTTCCACACTGAGCTGCGGCCACTCGTTCTGCCTGCGGTGCCTGGAGGACGCGTGGCAGGCGGCCGGGCGCTGCTTCTGCCCCCAGTGCCGAGCCGAGTTCGAGCAGAAGCCGCAGCTGAGAAGGAACGTGGCGCTCGCCAACCTCGTGGAGGAGCTCAGCGTGGTGGAGAAAGAGGCTCTGCAGATTTCCTGTGACTGCTGTCTGGACGGTAAAGTATCCGCTGTGAGAAGCTGCCTGACGTGTGCGGCGTCCGTCGGTGAGTTCCATTGTAAGCGTCACCTGCAGAACGCGAGATTCAAGAAACATGAGCTGGTGGAGCTGGGTGTCAGCACGGAAGGTCGCAAGTGCAAGAAGCACAACAAGCGTCTCGCGTTCTACTACACGCAGGACGAAAGCCTGGTCTGCACGAGCTGCGCCATCGTGGGGGGGCACGCGGGACACAAGTTCAGCAGCGTGGAGGAAGAGCACGAGGCATGGAAGGTGAGTGGAGTCGCTCAGAGATTGGAGCACAAAGATTGGGTCGCGCCAGCACTCACCTCTGCAACACTCAGATGAACTTACAGATAATTTAAAGTCCAAATTGGATAAACCATAGCCATGCTAATTACGTTTAAATAAATTAAAGCATAAATATTAGCTTCACCTTACAATGTATATGCATTGTACGTAGCGGTGGTCAAAATTAGTTGACCCGTTTGTTCCCGTGATTCGTATCACCCACAGCAACAGTCTTGTAAATATATGTGGTAGATTCCACTTATTCATCATTGACATCCAACCACCTTTTGTTGATGGTGATTCCATCTAAAAACAGTTGGTCTTGAATCTAAATCTGAAGTTTTCGTGACTGCAATGATCTATACTCTCTGGTTCTTTCGGTAAAGTCACGTAGGTATAAAATAAAATAAATTTTTGGTGGTTGTACACCACCCTCATAAGGGCATCCATTACCCAACTTTAGGTCATCGATTTGATCTCCGTGATAAAAATAACTATCCAAAAAAAGCCCAGCCATGTTTTGAAATAGTTACACGTTTAAAATAACTGTACAACTATACTTAACCGATGTTATGACAAATCAAGAACGGTTTACCCTTTCTGACAATAAAATAGGTGTTAATATGTTCAAACGCCAAATATAAACCTTCTACAAGCAATAATGACTACATTAACCACACGTACCCATATTGTTTGTAGATGCTTCTTGTATGATATTATTAACAAGTTTACGGCCATGTGTGTTTTAAAATAAAACTTCCACATTCGAGTCTGAAATATATTCTCATAATTTTAGTTGCTGCAACGCCAGTCACACACTGCAGCTCTTGATTGCATCGTTGTATAAATGAACTCATATATTGATCAAAATCACATTATTTATGATTGTATTTTAAAGAAGCAGCTTAAATTTAAGAGCAAAAATGCTGCAATTTTAATTAAAATATGCGCGTTTAACTTTTCAGCCCACATTACTTGGGCTTTGGACTGCCAAAGGTTGATTCGAGACATTGTATTTTTTGTGAATTCTCGGAAACCTTGTACAGCAGTGATTTTACACTTTTTTCTGGTTGGGGAATAAATTGTTGGAAGTAAAAATAAATTCCACCTATGATGCCGATTGAAGACAGGGAGAAATGACCAGCAACTCATCGAGCCGTACAAAATAAATGCAATTCTTACTCAACCCATCAACCTTACGGCCTTCTGAAAGTGCATCATTTCAGCAGCATTGATTCAATATAAGCAGCCTCTGGATCGGGCTTGACATACAGGTCTTATGAGCAAAGTTTGGCTCGCTTGAACCGAAGCTCATGGGTTGAATAGAACGTATTTTTATTTGTATACTTAAAGTTTGTACGTGGGGAGACATATATGAGTGAGGAATAGTCTCCTTATCTATTTAATGGCTTAATGATGTTTAATAACATGCTTTATAGTTGAATATGCACTTTACATGTGCGCCACTGACCATAAAACTGTAAAAAAGACATTTTAATATTCCAAATTCTACTTTATATGTTAGTGTTTTAACACAAAAACAATTTGTTTGTCTATCGAATAGTGGAGAAGCATTGGCAGCTGCTGCGGATTACTTTGATGTAGTTTTGAGCACGTTTGTTCCTCTTCACCACTCAGGAAGAGCTCAGACTCGAGAAGACGAGGAGAGAGGAAAATACAAAAGCGGCAGAGTTACAAACTCCCTCTTATAATTCGCCTGTGAATTGTATTAAATTGATTTCCTTTCTATCATTGTTGCGTTTAATTTCCCCCATGCTCTCAGAATGTAAGTCTCCTGCCTCCTTTTACAAAGTATGGATATATAGCGGTGTAAGAGATGTTGTATGATGTCACATAGCTCCATGTTAAATGATGAGCGATTCTATAACGCGTCATCGTATCTCTGCGTAGGAGTCTCTGCGTGGGACCAAGGAGCGGATCAGCCGAGAGTTTGAGCGCCGGAGGGAGCAGTTGGGGGAGGAGGAGAGGGAGGCGCTGGAGCGCGTGGACGAGGAGGGCCGCTCCGTGGTGTCCAGAATCCAGGCGGACATCGCTCGCTACGAGAGCAAAGCAGGCGGCCTGGATCAGGAGACCAACCAGCTGCTAGCCACCCTCAACGTGCACGACCCACTCGCCTTACTGCAGGTGCCCCCACCTCCATTCACTCACGGCCTTGGTCTATCAGAGGGTTTATCTACAACCAGGTGAGGTTCACCACTCTGTGAAACATTGATATTGTTGGCAATTTTATTTCAGAGCTTTAAGATCTGGGGGGGGGGGGGAGGGGGGGAGGGGGGGTGTCCAGAAATAGACATACATTTTTTTCCGCGTGACATTCAGACCTGGACTTGTCCAGTACAACCTCACCATATTCAGAACTCAAACACACGAGTTCTTAAACTGTCTTTACCATTTGTTAGATGCTAGACGAAACCTGTGAAGAGTGGTTTTGTCATTTGTAGATATCCGTCCGGGTCCAGTTAACCAAAATGTTTTACCATTCTCCATTTGCAGGTATTTGTGAATGTTCTGATGTTGCACTATACTGTAAATAGCAGGTGACTATATGGAAGTAGGGCATGTATTAATGTAAAATGTGGGTTGGTGTTTTTCAGCATCCCGTGCATGAGACTCTCAGGTCAGTACCAATCCAGACTCAAACTCGAGCTCTATCTGCCACCAGTTGGACACAACAGTCATCCACGAATCTCTCTAAAACCACTGTCAGTCATCCAAATCTAATTCATATCACATATAATGTGTGTGCATTACCATTTGCCAAATAAACCCCTTCACAAAATATTGCCAGTGACTATGATTGAATGACCACACTCATCCTTAGCCCAGCATTAAGCCCAATATCAGTTTAAACAAGTAACCAGTCACAGGGTTTTAATAAATCAAGGAAGGGGGCTGTGGTTTGTTCAGTAGAGGACAGACTTTGAGGCCTCTGTGTGGCTTCTTGTACAGCAAACACTCAGCTCCACATTCACTCACCACAGCTTCAGCACTGTGGAACCAGAGGGAGCTCAGACTCAAAATCAGAATCTTTATTTAGACTGGAGGAATCCGATAAGCTATAAAACTCTTTTTCATAGATGTACAGTATGGACGGATCAGCAAGCTACAACAACAGAAAATATAAACAACGATAGGAGTGCAAAATAGAGAAAGAGTGAGCAGGTCACGAAAATATATATAAATAAAATTGCAGTGGTCCCTCGGTTATCAGTGGCATCAGTTAGCATTTCATAATTTAACGTTTTGCTTCCCATATCACCCCATGGTTTGATTACCGTTAACAATTTGATTAACGTCATGTATACATTATTCAGATGGGCGCCAATTTCGGCCAGTACGAGCTTTCGTAAGGTGGCTGAGCATGCCTCAGCCAATCAGAGACGCCCATTTATGAGCATTTAGACCTCAACTGGCTTTGTTTACGTTTTTTCTGTTTGTTAGTGGAAACAGCTCTCTTGCAGACTCAGTGAATTTTGCTTATTTTTCAACTTTTAAGTAAATTCGATTAACAGTTATATCGGTTAACAGTAGTTTTCGTGGAATAGATTGGAAACTTTAACCGAAGACCTACCGTGTATAAGTACCAATTACATAAATTTGTCAAGACTAAATGCAAGCTTGGGCAAGGCAGCAAAACAACAATAAAAACAGACCGAGACCACACCAATGAAATAGTCCATTAAAATTTAAGTATCGACACAGGGATTCGGATACAATTTACAGATCAAATTTTCAAATGCAGTTGTATCCAACTCCAATCTTCTGCTTCAGGATATTTTAGCAGTGTTGAATAGGCAGTGAACTAGGGGAGCCGTTTCCTCATGCCCTTTCACTCCCCGTGTGCCATGCTGTGTAAGTGGAGGGACTCCACCCACTATGGACTCCGTTTCTCGTGCTGTGTGAGTGCAGGAACTCGGACTTGCAGGGGATCCAAGATGCCCCTCCTCCCACATTCAGTCACCAAGAGCTCACGGGGGTCATCTCGATAGGAGGAGTGAAGACGAAGCTCATGGGTCTCGTGTGTGAGTCTCTCTGCATTCTACACTGATCTCTGTCAACATCATTCATTCCAAACACAATGATCCAGAAACGCACTGCTGGGTAGGCTGGTGTCCTTTGTTTAAGCGAGGTGGCATAGCATTGGGGCGTGTGGCTTAAAAAACATTCAAATATATTACTTGACCAAGTAAAGACCGCTGAGCTATATATTTTTTTCAGAAGCGAACTGGCCACAAATGATAGTTCAACTAAGTGGTTCATTATGTGGAAATGTATAGCAGCCAAATACCCTATATGCGTGTTGTTGATTCTAAATATGGAGCGAAAAACCGGAAGACCCGGAGAAAACTCCACACAACGACGGGGAGAACATGCAAACCCCACATATGCAGGCGTTAGTGTCAGGACCGAATCCACAACTTCCTGAATACCATACGAGGGAGATAACATCTCGCCATCGCGCTGAGTACAAACTTAACGTTGAGTCACCTGGATAAAGAGGAGTGCTGACCTCAAGCGGAGGTCGTGCACGCTACGCTGTGCGGATTCAGAAGCTCATAGCTTTCGTTTATCAAAGATCACGTGAGAAGATACACACGTGTTACAGAGCGGGTCTACATACGCCACACATCATCCCTGAGGATCTCCATATCACCCAGGTTTCTATATCACTCAAGTCTCTTTCACCTAAATCTTGATATCACCCAGGTCTCTATAATCACCCAGGTCTCTATATCCCCCAGGTCTCTATATCACCCAGGTCCCAATATCACCTAGGTAGGAAGCCCTGCAACTTCATGTGAACAAATGGGGACCCGTTGAACCTGCTTGGAAGCAAATCAGTTGTGAGCCTGGTTAGATCAGAATCAGAATCAGAAAGGGTTTTATTCGCCATGAAAGTTCGCACAGACAAGGAATTTACTTTGGCCGGAGGAAAATAGAATGTAATGATTGAACACCGTGGGGTTGTGAGATGACCAGGGGATGGCAGTACAGCAAATTGTTCAGTCCACAGATGATGCGGTGAATCGGATCTGCCTCTGGATTGAATTTATCTGTGTGGAGTTTTGGGTGTCACTCCCTCGTATACAGCATGGGGGTTTTCTCCAGGTTCTCCGGCTTCCTCCCCCACGAAGCCAGCATCTCATCAATGGGATTCATGGCCTCGCATCCCAATGTGGCAGGATCCTCCTGCAGGACATGTCATCATACTCAGCGAGACCCTCCTCGGTAAACAAAGTGCACTCTTGGTGTTGTGTTTGGCTAATTCCATGACTGAGTGCGGCTGCCAGCATAGGATGTGAATTACATCGCGATGTCCGTGCACATTGCGCACCCCTCTAGCGGCCTCGCTCTGCTCCAGGGCGCGATGTCAACTCGGGACGCCTCGGGGTCGAGAACTCTGGCCGTGTAGAGATTGACACAGAGGGCGTTATAAAAAGTGGTGAAATAGAACGTAACCCACTTGGTTATAATAATGTAGGGGGACGAGGGACATTCTATTGTTATCCATGCCACCCCTCCCTCCACACACTCAGCCACCAGAAAAAGCAAAGATCCCCCTCTATAGCATTTAACAGACTTTTGAGGCACGTGCTGTAAGGGAGTTGTACCGATGAAGGCTGGCACAGCACACAAGGGGGTTGTGGGTGGCCAACCTCACACACACAGGTTAGAGACACATCCGCATATGCTACACAAACAGATGCTGTACATACACACAGACATAGGCAACCACAGATTACACAAACTAAACGCAAACAAAACCCCCGCATAGCCTTCAATAGCCTGTTGTGGCAGTGCTGTTAATGAGCACCAATGAAGGAGGTCACGGGACACAGCACACAAAGGGGTGAGTGGCCAGCCACCACGCACGGCTGTCTGTTTTTCCAGGGTGGCAATGTTTACACACCGCACCAGGTACTCATTTGAGGCTAATTCGAATTTGGAGAGGTCCAGGACCGATTAAAATTTTCTCCACTGTTATTGGTTGTGAGTGGGAATTGAACTCGGATGACCGGGCTCGTAACGCAGTGTGCTCACCACTACGGTACCACTCCCCGCACAGACACACACGAAGAGTCACACAGAATACACAAAAGCTGCACAAACACATATACCCTGCACATACATTGCACGCACACTACACATAAATACACTACACCAAGTATATAGACGCATTCAGCTGAATAGGCGTTTAGTTTCACTGAGAGGTTATTTTCCTGCACACAGCCCCTTCCCGGCAAACAAAAAATCGGCTCAGCCTATACCAGGGGTGGGCAAACTTTTTCACTCACGGGCCACAATGGGTTCTAAAATTGAGAGGGGCTGGGCCAGGAACGGATGGATGGAGTGTTTGTGTGAACTAATATAAATGACATGTAAAAATCATTACATGAAAGGATTTGGCCTTTAACAGGTAGCAAAGCACTTATTTGCAAGGAAATTTAACAAATTGCACGAACATGAACAATACAAAAACATGTCGTAACGTGACTAATGAAACATCATGAAAACATCTGAGGCCTGCGCCCAAACCAATTACTTCACTTGAACTTCTTTATTATCTACATTAACAGGTTAGAGCAGCCACGCAGGCTGTGTGATGGAGATTTGGCTCCAACCTCGCTGCAGCAACAGATCATCACTTTCAGTTTCAGTGGGAATAGTGTTGTTGATCTCCCATTTTTGCCAGTGCATACAAGTCTGGAGTTATTTTGGTTGTGGCAATTCTCAGGATACATCTGAGGTGCTGATCCGTTAACTTTGATCTGTGACGGGCTTTGTTGGCGTTCATGACGCTGAATGTCTGCTCACACACATAAGTCGAGCCAAACAAAGTCAGTATCTTCTGTGCAGTCGTCTGGAGGTTTGGAAACGTGGCTTTGTTAAGTCAAGCATAAAAGTCATTCAGTTTAACAGAGTTGAACTTCTCCTTTAGGGCGGAGCCAGACTGAAGATCTTTCAGTTCCAACTGCAGCTCCTGTGGTGCTGTTTCAGGTTCTTGTGACAAGGGACAGGACACCAGCTGAAGTGACTGTTCAATGTTTTCGAAATCAGAGAACCTACGGCAGAATTCTCCGTGCAGGTCCTCAAGCGATTTGCTGTATTTTTTTGCGTTTCGCGGTGCCTCTTCCTGCATGGCAAGTGTGGGGAAATGAGCGGAAGATTTGTTTGCAATTTGTCCGGAGAACAAAGTGAGCTTGTATTTGAAGGCTTTCACATGTTTGTACATGTCGTGAACAAACTGATCTTTCCCCTGAAGTTTCACATTCAACTCATTCATGTGTGAAAATATGTCCACAGCAAACGCAAAGTCACTAAGCCAGTTCTTGTCGCTTAGCTCAGGGAATTCGTCAGATTTCCCCATCAACTCCAAAAATGCGATGATGTCCTCTTTCAGCTCCCACACTCGTTGTAACACTTTCCCCAAACTTAACCAGCGTACACGAGAGTGGTACAGCAAGTCCTGATGATCCGCATCAGTTTCCTCCAGGAACGTAATAAACTGACGGTGCTGAAGTCCCCTTGCTCGTATAAAGTTCACACGTTTTACGACTGGATTCACGACATGATTAAGCTGCAATACAGACTTACACAGGGATTCCTGATGGATGATGCAGTGAAGGAAAATAAGATCCTGGACAGGGTTTTCCTCTTTCACTTTATCCTGGATTCTTTTCAGCAGCCCAACATTTTTTCCAGTTAAATTTGGCAATCCATCCGTTGTGACATTGACAAGTTTACTCCAAGGTAGCGTCATTCTTTCGATGACAGCAGATACCTGTCTTCTTGGTTCTTTCGGTAAAGTCACGTAGAAGGGAAGTAATAAAATAATTATGTTTTAGTTTTATTTTTATTATTTTATTACTTCCCTTCTACGTGACTTTACCGAAAGAACCAAGAAGATGAATCCCTGCAGTCACGAAAGCTTTAAATCGAAAAAAAGCAGATACCTGGTTATACAAGTCCTCTCCCCGCGTTGTTCCTTTCAGGGACTCCATGGTCAAAAACTCCTCTGTTATCGCAAAACTATCGTCAATGCCTCGGATAAAAATGAGGAGCTGAGCAGTGTATTTTACGTCCGTACTTTCATCCAGTGCTAGTGAATATAATTCAAAGGAATCAGACTTTTTGTTTAATTGACTGGCTATATTTTATCAATCAGTTCCACACGGCGAGTCACAGTCCTGCGTGATGAACTGACTTTTTAAAATTAGCTTTTGATCTCCGGACACAAGATGTCTGCTGTCTATACCATGTATTCTTTTACAAACTTGCCTTCGGAGAAAGTGGTAATGAGTGGTAATGTTGGTGAGAAGAAGTTTTTAAGGAAAATTTAAATCGAAGTGAAGAAGGAAATTATTGAAAAGTTTGTATAATTAATGATTTTTCAAACTTTAATTATGTTTTCTGTGCTTATAACTCTTTAAAAAAAACTCTGGGGTCTAGAACAGACTCGTGAAATTCGGAGAGAACTCGGAGTTAGGTTTTGTTTGTTTTGTTGAATTGCATAAAGTGTGCCATTTAATGGGGAAATGGGGGCATTACAGGAGGAAGGTAAAATTTTATTTAATAATAATATTTGGACAAGTTCGGCGGGCAGGATTAAAAAGCCCAACGGGCCGTACACGGCCCGAGGGCCGTACTTTGCCCATTTCTGGCCTATATCTTGGCTCCTCAGCCTCCACCTGACAGCCTCAACTCTCATTCACAGCTACCGTGTGGCGCTTGTCTTCATAGCACTAGATAGCAGTACTGCCCTAATAAGCAGAGGCAAAGACAAGGACACCCCCCCCCCCCCATGTCTCTGCTTGTCAGCACTGACAAGCAGAGACACAGACACTGGCACTCCTATCATGAGGACATCACACGTGGAGATGTCTCAACATAAACACGCACCAATGAAAATACTTCTTTAAACGGTTGCAGTGGTCTAGGATTTATTACATTAAACATATACATTTGTAAGTTTTGGTCACAGGCGCAATATAAACACGACAACTAATTTATAACATTCTGCGATGTTTTGTTGGTGTTGTTTGTAGATGAAGACGCGAATGAAGAAGTCAAACATGAATTTGACAAAAGCGAAGGCGAGAACGAAGGAGGGAAACCTGAAGCGGGATGGAATTTTATGGCGCTGATTGTCGTGATAGCGTTAATTTGCCTGGTTATAATCATAACAACCAAGATGTCCTGATGTTTAAGATTACTTGAAGAAAAATGAGAAGGAAGAGAAAATGTGTTTCTAATAACCTATTATTATTACCATTTATATACCATATTTTCCCGCATATACAGTGAGGGAAAAAAAGTATTTGATCCCCTGCTGATTTTGTACGTTTGCCCACTGACAAAGAAATTATCAGTCTAGAATTTTAATGGTAGGTTTACTTCAACAGTGAGAGACAGAATACCAACAAAAAAATCCAGAAAAACACATGTCAAAAATGTAATAAATTGATTTGCATTTTAATGAGGGAAATAAGTATTTGACCCCTCTGCAAAACCTGACTTAGTACTTGGTGGCAAAACCCTGGTTGGCAATCAGAGGTCAGACGTTTCTTGTGGTTGGCCACCAGGTTTGCAAACATCTCGGGAGGGATTTTATCCCACTCCCCTTTGCAGATCTTCTCCAAGTCATTAAGGTTTCGAGGCTGACGTTTGGCAACTCGAAGCTTCAGCTCCCTCCACAGATTTTCTATGGAATTAAGGTCTGGAAACTGGCTAGGCCACTCCAGGACCTTAATGTGCTTCTTCTTGAGCCACTCCTTTGTTGCCTTGGCCGTGTGTTTTGGGTCATTGTCATGCTGGGATACCCATCCACGACCCATTTGCAATGCCCTGGCTGAGGGAAGGAGGTTCTCACCCAAGATTTGACGGTACATGGCCCCGTCCATCATCCCTTTGATGCGGGGAAGTTGTCCTGTACCCTTAGCAGAAAAACACCCCCATGTTTGACGGTGGAGATGGTGTTCTTGGGGTCATAGGCAGCATTCCTCCTCCTCCAAACACGGCGAGTTGATTTGATGCCAAAGAGCTCCATTTTGGTCTCATCTGACCACAATACTTTCACCCAGTTGTCCTCTGAATCATTCAGATGTTCATTGGCAAACTTCAGACGGGCATGTGTATGTGCTTTCTTGAGCAGGGGGATCTTGCGAGCGCTGCAGGATTTCAGTCCTTCACGGCGTAGTGTTACCAACTGTTTTCTTGGTGACTATGGTCCCAGCTGGCTTGAGATCATTGACAAGATCCTCCCGTGTAGTTATGGGCTGATTCCTCACCGTTCTCATGATCATTTCAACTCCACGAGGTGAGATCTTGCATGGAACCCCAGGCCAAGGGAGATTGACAGTTCTTTTGTGTTTCTTCCATTTGCGAATAATCGCACCAACTGTTGTCACCTTCTCACCAAGCTGCTTGGCGATGGTCTTGTAGCCCATTCCAGCCTTGTGTAGGTCTAAATCTTGTTCCTGACATCCTTGGAGAGCTCTTTGGTCTTGGCCATGGTGGAGAGTTTGGAATCTGATTGATTGATTGCTTCTGTGAACAGGTGTCTTTTATACATGTGTAATAAAGAACTCGGACGCTCCCTCTGTCTCCGTGTCCTTTATTTGGGTTCTTATGCTTTTCCCTCACGGCACTCCCTTAGATATTCTTCGTTCGGCAGCCCCAGGCTGCTGTCGCTCACGTAGCCCACTTTCTCTCCTAGCAGCCCCGCTGCTGAACTCCTTCTCTCCTAGCAGCCCCGCTGCTGAACTCCTCGTGCAGACCCCCGCTGCCCAACTCCTCTATTGCAGACCCGCTGCCCTCTGCAGCCTCCTCGCTGCTCCTGCTGCCCCGGGGTCGGTCACCGTTGGCCGACGGAGCCGAACCTCGGGGTCCGTGTATGTGGCGATCTCGCCACTCTCTCTCTCACCCTCCGCCCTGCGTGGCCTCACTCTTTCCCAGTCTCCGATCACTCTCCCTCCTCTTCCGGTTTCTCCCCCTATAGACCTGAACCCCCTCCCCCACGTGACGTAACTCCTCCCCCCATGACGTCACTTCCGGGAGGTCGTTTACGCCCGCATTACACAGGTAACAAACTGAGATTAGGAGCACTCCCTTTAAGAGTGTGCTCCTAATCTGAGCTCATTACCTGGATAAAAAACACCTGGGAGCCAGAAATCTTTCTGATTGAGAGGGGATCAAATACTTATTTCCCTCATTAAAATGCAAATCAATTTATAACATTTTTGACATGCGTTTTTCTGGATTATGTTGTTATTCTGTCTCTCACTGTTCAAATAAACCTACCATTAAAATGATAGACTGATCATTTCTTTGTCAAGTAGGCAAACGTACAAAATCAGCAGGGGATCAAATACTTTTTTCCCTCACTGTGCGTTATGTGTGTGTTCACTTCGTGCTCAACTCTTTGAGTTAAGCGAGCGCCGAGTTGGGGCATCCCTTGTACCGAGAATACCTCGGTTCCCTGCTGGGCGATGTGTGTGTGGGCGTGTCATACACACGGCGCTCTCTTTCTCTCTCGCTTGGTGGCAGCTCCAGGCTTCTCCACTGCCGGATGATTGTTGAGTCGGCACGATGCTCGCCTTCGGCGGTGCCCGATAGTGCTCACAGATCGTCCGCTGGTCGCCAGCGCCGACACTATCAGTTGCGCTGGTCACGCTCTTTTCTCCTCTGCTAGGTGATTCATACTCTTTTTTTCTTTCGGTAAAGTCACATAGTTTAAAAATAATATAAAACAAATCACGACGTTTTGATCGCAACACAAGCGACCTTCATCAGGTGGCACTGATACAGCAGGACAGCCGCAGGAGAAAGAGCTGCTGACAAGAGTTTATATAGGGTTGTGGTGGGCCCAACCCAAGGGCAAGTGGGCAGAGCTAGGGAAGAAAAAAAGGGGGGGGCAAGGGGGGGAGGGTGAGAGGGGAGTGGGTGCAGGTGATCGGTGGAAGGCAGAGAGAAGCTGTGCCTGTGGAAGGCAGAGAGAAGCTGTGCCTGTAGAAGGCAGAGAGAAGCTATGCCTGTGGGGCCAATGTGGCGAGGCGTAGTCCCGTGCAGAGCCTCTGGCCTTGCCTAGATTGTCCAGCCTGCCGAGGTGGCACCTTGGCAGGCTGGGGATGGGCTGCTACCACTGCCCCTCCCCCCCTGGCAGCCACGATGTCCCCGGCTGCTCTGCAGTAATATCTAGGGCCTATAGTGGTAACATCTAGCGACTGTATAGTAGTAATAACTGCACGCATCGGGGTGAGGGGACATCACACAGTGAAGAATTTACCTGAGCGTTTAGTGTACTTTTACAGCATTTTTAACGCGGAAGAAAATGTCCCCCTCACTCCCACCAAAGGCGCGTGACTTGACATGGGCTGCCCCCTCACCAAAGGCGCGTGAGTTGGTACGGTCGTGTAGGCGTAATAAATAATTCAATATAATTGAAGCGCACAAAAATCGCACTAAATCGCTAATTAAACTAATTAAAAGTTGACGGATGTGAAAAAGGAATAGCGCTTGCTTATGGCGTGGTACCTGGCTATTTCTTTTTTACATAAACCCCACCGTTGGAGAGCAAAGCGCGCGACCACACGTAAACCCACAAACCCACAATTTTTTACTTTTATATTGATAAGAAGAAGATATATATTTGGTATAGGAGGAAAGAGGCGAACCCAGTCGAACCCCATCCAAGAGAGGAGGGTAACACACAAACCCCACACAAAAAGGAACCTGAGTAAAGAATCGAAGCCAGAACGTCTAATCTGTGTTAACACTGTGACACCCTGCCTATCTAATTGCCTACACGAACTGCAATAAAATGGGGGGGGGGGGAAATCCCCCTGCAAATACAATGAAAGTAAAATTGTGATACATTGGAATTATGACAAAAGTTTGTCATTAAAATGCCTAACGATAGTATGTATTAATTTTTGCATTTACTGAAACATATAACCCTGAACTGGGTAAATAAAATGATCTGCTATACCAGCTGTTCCCAACCTTTTTCTTTGATGTGTACCCCTACCAGCCCTATCACCATATACAGTAATCATATGCTGGTAAGTGAAGGGGGAAAGTAGATTATAATCAACTGCGAATCATCCCTAACTTGATTATCCTTCTTAGCACCTCCTCGGGAGATGGTACACCAGCCAGCCACTAACAGAAGATGAATACAATATTCTAGATTTGAAGCTTTCGTGACTGCAAGGATCCATATTCTTAGGTTTTTTGGTAAAGTCACGTAGGTAAAAAATTAAATAAAAATAAAAAAATTTTATTTTACTTTTATTAATTTTTTTTTACCTACGTGACTTTACCAAAAAAACTTAAGAATATGAATACAATACTTTATACAAACGTTTAAGCTCCACACTCCCAGTGTCAGTCCGCTCTATACCCAATAACTCGTTTAGTTGGGCTGAGTAGTTTCCACTTCTAAAAAGCCCAAAAAATACAGACCATAATAACGACACGGGACAAATGAAACAATACAATCAAGGCAGACAGATGGTGTGAATCAGGCTGAGACAATACAAATAAGGAAGACATGCACGTGTAAGATAGATGATATAGAAAATTAGTCAATGCAAATGAGACAAACAGCAGAGACAGAACATATGAGTCAAAGCATTTTAGATGAGTTATGAATTGAATATTAGATGGGCATAGGGAATTAGTAGGATATGTTAAGCAGTAACAACTGACCGGTAATTAAAAAGTAAATACTCATGAGCATCCCCACGCTGAGTAACATTCTAAAACGGCAATTTTGTGATCAAACCTTGACGAGTAGCCAAAATATGTTGTGTGAAGCTGATATGTAGTGTAACAAGTACAGGTATAGTAGTCTCTTCTCTATCGCTTGTTGACATGAGCTCTCAATAGGTGGTAGATGACGAGGCTGAATGAAACAGTACCTGGCTTTCTGGTTCCTGGAAACGACAATCGCTATGCCCTGAGGTATGGTGAATTGAATATTGGCTTGTAATAGCTCATTAAGAATTAATTAAACAGGACCCCGGGGTGGGCTGGTAGGAACGAATAACCAAAGAATATAAACATAATGCATTATTAAACTTGTTTAGCCAGGAAAGCTCCACTGAGTCTAAAGGTTTTTCTAGGGTCCTGCCAAGTGTTTGCAGTAGGGGGCGATGTTGCTACACCTAATCGTATGATACGAAGGGAGAGTTTGAGGCCTAATTTTAGGCTTTAAGCCTAGCTGTAGGATTTAGGCTGCCGTGAGTTATTTTTTAATTTAAATGTTTTAATTAAAAGCTATCTCAGGGCATTATAAGGGAATGTTACACGTGTTTAGCCAGGAAAGCCTCATTAATTTAAATGTTTTAATTAAAAGCTATCTGAGGGAATTATAAGGGAATGTTACACTTGTTTAGCCAGGAAAGCCTCACAGAGTCTTAAGGTTTTTGTAGGGTCATGCCAAGTGTTTGCAGTAGGGAGCGATGTTGCTACACGGACGGACGGACGGACAGACGATATAATCTATTGTAGACTGGTCCACTTCGTTCCTACCAGTATCACAATACCTTGCTGATCTCGTAAAAGGAGCATAAACCGCGACGCAAACTCCGGTCATCCTCGAAACAGCTTTTGGCTAGCCATCAAACAAAGATTGTTACTACAACACGCCCTTTCAGATACGCTTCCGCGGTCATCTGGAATGCTCTTCCTTTTGATGTTAGGAAACCACTGGAGCGATGCACTTTTAAATCTAGATTTAAATCTAGATGCCGGGTTCGTAGCACAGCGCGAATACCACTACACTACAATGCGTTACGCTTCCACATGCGCGCGTCACGCTTCCACATACGCGCGTCACATGACAGATTTGACGTCACAGCTCACTTGCCGTGCAAAAAATATATGCATTATTGAGCCCCCCCTCCCCCCCCCAAAATTAAAGTGTATTTGTATAAGTTTTGCATGGTGTACAGTCTGGAAAGTACCCACATAGCAAATTTCAAGTTTGTTGCATGTCGGCAAGTATACTAAACATTTTGAACAGACACACATAATCACAACTTTGCCTTTTATATGTATGGAGATGTCCACGAGGCATTCCGTGTGGACAACGCGAAGCGCGTTGCACCATCGAGCAGAGCGAGGCCCCGAGAGGGGGGCGCAATGTGCATGGACATCGCGATGTAAACCACATCCACTGCTGGTCGACGCACACAGATGTTGTATATATCGGGTTTTGAATAATTTATGAAAATAGTAAAAAAATAAAAGATGTAGGACAAGGACCAATTATAGTAATTTATGGTAATTTATGTAAAAACGCGCATAAATATGCTAATTAGGGAGGTAATCTTATACATTTATGTGAATGCATGTGATTATGCTAATGTGAGCAGTTATAATTATGCTTAGCTTTGTTGTCTAGGGTCGTATTATCAATTGCTAAAATGCTATTATTCTTGCTTAAACATTTACTGATTATATCTTAGTGTGTTTATGTCAGGTCTCCAAATTCAAATCACCGCGTAACACGAGCATAGACGGCGATAGGGAGAGTCTTTAAAACAGGCATGCAATGATATTCATACGAAAGGCAATAAAAGCTAATTATTATACCCCAAAGGCAAAAGTATACGTCAATAGATTCATCGGCAAGATTATATAATTAATTAAACGTCTTGAGACAATGGTGTGCGGCGGTGGCTAAGCTTCAATTAATTCGTGGACAAGATTCGGTGTTCAAAAGAAACGTTTAGCACAATATTCTCCCTGTGAGTGTGTAGATTCGTAACGAAGATTTCAAAAGTTTAGTTTGCATCGATGAATCTATTGGTAATTTATGCGATAACAATTTGTAAAAAAAATTATAATAAAATGAATACAACGTAGTTATAAACGACCGTATTTTTATCTCTCGGTGAGCAGCGATGCCTTCACGACCAGTTAATGGTTCACGTGTGTGTGTATTGTCCCTTTGATAAATTATTGTGTCAGCCTGGGTATGCATGTGCGCGTGTGTGGTTTTGATTCCCTGGGTCAATTCTTTGTATTAAGCAGACGCCGGGCGCGTCGTGGGTTTGTGAGTGTGGGGGAGGGCATACGCATGGCGGCTTGCTCTCTCTCTCT